AGAGGGTGAAGTATGTGAAGGAGAAAGAAAGGAGGCGTCAGCAGTAGCCTGTTTTCGCTTACTCGCCCTGCTGTATGCAGCAAGTAAGGCAACCCGGCTGATGGCACAACGCGACGGCTGATGTGGCATGAGTTTATTTGTGTATGTGCAATTCATGTATGTGTGTGTGTATGTACATATGCATTTGTGTGTACAATTCATGCAACAAACACGGTTTAGAAACAGATGTAAAATGGAAACATTATGGTGAAGCCTTAGGAGGCAAAGACGTCTATATCAAATGCAGCCGGTCGCCAGTGGATTTCATCCGACGAAAAAATTAAGCCTGATGTGAGGAAAGCTGGAACATATGATCACACAGTAGCCAAGTATGCTGGCCCCAGAGTATGTGTTTCAGCCCTCCCCGACGGATGGTTTGCCTTTAGAGAAAACTAGAAAAGCTTTAAGAACAGAGGATTGTATCCCATGGGGTGTGCACTCGTTTAATGAAAGTCTACTTGCAGCCGAGTCGATTTTAACAATTTCCATCAAACCGGCAGAGAATTTTTCAAACAGCCTCGTCTTGATATATCTTTCACGCCAACCGGTACCACCGTTATCAGTGTTTTACAGTGTTAAGGGTGGTTAAGAGCCATCCAAGCAAACTGCTCACAGGTGTACGTTTATCCTATTCCCAGCTAAATTGATCATCCAGAAAGCCTAGTTGAGTTGAACATAGTCATTTGGCACATTGCTACCAAGTCCGTATTACGTTCGCGTCTTTCGGATATGATCTCTGTGTGCTGAAAAAGCGAACCACAAAAGCATTCCCAACTATTAGATAGCAATGCGGGGGGAAGCTTTTTAGTGATACGAAATAGGCTTATACTAAGGATAGTCGAAGAGGGATACCAGTAAAACAGATGATAAAGGAGGTCCGTTCAGCAGGTTAATGTGGATTTCAAAAAGGTCCAATGAGGGTTTTTTAAGTGAAGTGAGTAATTTTGTGTTAGGCAGAATTCCACACGGATCCCGCCATACCGCACGTCTTTAGGCGCTGCTACGTTCGATAAGCCTAGGCCGCATGAGATTGGCCAAGAATTCGGGACGCCTGCTAGTTCTGCATCAAGAGGAGATCTGATTGGTCGAAAATCTGGACCCAACAGCCAATCATGACCCAGTATTGGCCAAATGCCGGTTGCCAATGTCGCATCCAGAACGCGTCAGAATCTCCAGAAGGTTATAACCGCCTACACTATATATAAGAAGCGCTGTGCAGCTGTTCTCGACTCCGTTTTGGGCGTTAGTATACCTTGTGAATCTTTGGCGGTTGTTTTGACGTGAACGCTAGCTTGGGAGGCTCAGACCGAGAGCTAAGCTGAGGAAAATACCGTTACTACATTTTGGCACCACCATAATCGACAATGCAGTTGGGTCGAACCGGCTTTATACAGTAGCCAGATTTGCTAGGAAAATGAACTTTTCGCTTACTGAAACAATGGGTTTCAGGATCAACAAGCATTAAATCCAGCAAGCACATAAGTAATAATAATAATAGAAACAATAATAGTAGTTTATCTAAATGGTTTCGTTTATATGTTACATCATTCCAGTGCCTAGATGTCACATCACCCGAAGAAAGCATGAAGGATGATTTGCTGCCAGGATGCCCAAGTCTAGAGAGGAGCAGTCGAGAAGTCCGGGTTGAATTCAAACCACGTATCTTTGATCTTGACCAGTGAGCTGTTTCGAGCTCACGAATACTACAGAAACAACAGTTTGCACCAGACGTATAAGAGAGAGATACAGAGTTGATTCGCAAAACCACTGGCGACCGTTGGAGATGGCGTCGTTTCCCCATGTCTGTGCATACAGAGAAGACGCCAAAAGCTATGAAAAAGTGTTATTGAGTCCATTGAAACAGCTTTTATCGTTCACCTAAATTGCCATCTTTACAGGAAATCCACCAAGGAGATATTCTTCTGAACAGAAGGCACACCCTCGGAGCGGTCGCATTAGTATTCTGCTGGCTACCAGTTAATATGTGGGTCCTCCAACGAGGGGATGTTCTCAGCAGATGCTCAGGACCCTTGTGCATTGTGGTGTCGATGCGTCGGAATAATTACTATATTGCGACAAGTAATACAACGAATATTCACGGGTCCAGACTTATACAAGCAACAAACCAATAGAATTTCAGAGGGAAAAAACGTCACATGACAAATTACGTTTTCGAATGAGGAGTCATCACACAGGTTAACACCTATGTACCTGATATGAATTCGGGGACTGAAGGATGGGTGGCATCATATCCTGGATAAATGAAGGCTTATCACTTTGCAGATCAGTCGCCTGCGGTAGAATGGCCCAGTTCTCAGTTGCTAGCCGGAAGGTTGTGAGTTCGAATCGTTCTGTACATTCGTAAGACGAGCACTGACGCCGATTTCCAAAAGGGATGAAACAGTCGTACAGTGCTTCCTGGGGTTTTGATACACATCGACTCCAGTTGCAGGACGAATTCTGGGGAGAAAAAATTCCAAAATCTCTTCACACTGCCAAAAATTCACTTGTGGATGTGGACACATTGTTCATAGAATTCTTTAGGTCTAGTATAAGAATTCGAGTCATCCGAAACGACTTGTGACGAGTTTCAAGGCACAGAGGAAAATCGAATCCTTATGTGTCAGTATACCTCTGAAATAAGGGGTCCGCAAAACTCACGCCTGAAAAAGGAGTCAGAATCAGAGCACAAAATAACGCGACCATCTAGAATGCAATCCTCACCTTCGCAAATTTTGTCACACCTGTGACGAGAATTGATCTCTCTCTCCAGGAGCTCGAATATTTGTAAGTTTCAAGATTTGATTGACAACAGGTGTCTCGAAATAGTCACTGACCCACATGACCTGTTATTGGTCTCGGAGGTCACTAAACTGTTTGAAAAACCATCAAGATCATCTGCTGTTTTCTGCTCCTTTCCAGACGATAAATCGAGCTAGTTCAATTGGGGAAATACACTCATTTGCAAATTGAGTTGGTGTTAACGAATAACTCACTGAAATCCCGACTGAATATCTGTTCATGATATTCTTCATCTCTCACTGTATGTGTAGCATTATGATTCAGTTAACGCGATGTCCTAGATATTACAGTATATGTTCTTTGGGTAAAACTTGGGTTCGGTCGGAGCATTAGTTTGTCAGAAACTCGTGGTTGGTACCCGACTGACAAGTCTAAAGAAGGGCCAAACCGGCTATAGGCTCTGCGAAGAATTTTCAGTAATTTTGTCAGCAGCGTTCCTTCAGGAAAATGTACTACGTTATTTTGAATGTCGTACGAGCTGAAACATGGGTCGGCTTTTGTACAGCCCATTCACTTGAGGAGTGTCATAACTGATAGATTCAGCTGAAATTCGGCCTGTTTGTAGGAGAGAGTACAGCGATAATTTTAGGCTCAGATTTACTTTGACTCAGTGGCACACGATTCATTTAACATAGCGTCACACGCTGACACGCTGCTGAAATCGATTTCGTTGGATCATGTGTGTAGGTGTGTTTTACCCGGTCCCTGCTGATTGGACCATGCTACTCCAGTCAATCGAATCCAAAGGACGCGATGACTAACGAGACAACAAGCGCACATGGTCGTGTGCCCTGCATTGGGGTGCTAAACATACACGCCCGGAGTTGAGCGAATCGAGACAGCCGATGTGAGGCTCAACTGAGAGTCGAGTTATCCATTCATTTCCAATTTGCTCTGACCAGATGTGCTTCAGCTGGGCCATCATTCAGGAAAAACACCACATTTCTCTTCATGCGATCCTGCATACAGGGTTGATAGAAGTGCTTCGAAAAACAACTACTGAAGCTCATCTGACGTGCAATCCTCGATTTCATCTGCGGAGTCTATGCGATCCACTCCACCTTTGTGGTTCACCATAGCAGAATTCCTGGCCTACTTCTGGGGCCGGAAAATCCATCTGTGCTTTAGGTTTAGGGACATTTAAATAAGCTCCCGACAGCTAAGTTAATTCACATCTCTCAGAGGATGAGCGCACCAGTATTCAAATCCAACGCTCCTCAGGCATCAGAAGAAAAATAGTCCCATTTTAGTTTTCATTCCTTGAGTGAATCCAATCTAGGGAGAGAAACCGTGAAGCATTGTTGAGCTGATTCATCCTTATTCGGAATCATAAGCGGTGTGAGTCACACGACATCTAGCGAAATATGAACCCACGAGCACTTAACCGTTTGGCCACGAGAGGCTGTCACTGTAACTGATTCGCACTCCGAATGAATATAGCATCACTGATCCTTCAGTCACGGAGACCACATCACGTGGCCAAGTGTTGTCTGGCTCCTCGGATGACGATTCCGCAGATCGAAGCTTCACTCATCTTTTGAAATTAGTCATCCTCTGAGCTACTTATTAAATGACGGTAGTGTGAGGATGTTCGGTAGTTTGTTAACTAACGTACACTAACTTCATTTGGAAGCTGAAGCAAACGTAATTGGCTGAAATTCAACGGTCCTTGTGACTCGAAAGGAATTCAGACAATATCAGTTTGGGTGGATACGAATGGAATGTTCGCTACCAGACGAAATGGTGTGATCATTCCACCCTTCGGCTCAGTGCAATCAAGTGTCCAGAACTCGGTGGCTCTCTCTGCTAGCGAAAGGAATTTACACCCTGGATAACAAGAACAGTCTAGGTTTTAGGTTGTCCGTCGTGAGAGTTAATGTGATTTGCACCAGGTGGAATGCTACAAATGGAAAAATAGTCACCTCCCACCGAATCCCTCGCTCCTCGACGGACCTAGGCCCAAACAGTGGGTGTACTTCAACTTACTGATTTTTCTATGGTGAGATTATGCTCAACTTGGAGCAAGCATCAAAAGTGAAGTTTGCCGGACATATGTAGTTGTTTATGTTTTCGAAATCCACTGAACATGTTGTTCGACTTAAAGCGGCAATACTCTTAGCTCTCTAGCGGACTGATAGCTGCAGAAACCAAGCGCTTACCGAATAGCTCCATATTCTGCTCAGAGATAATTCAGCATTCAAGCTTTCGGAGTGGGCCAACAAAACGAACACTACGACAGGTCTGTAGACTCGTTATTGTGAGTTAAATGCTCTGAGGTGTTAGGGTACAGAGAAGCATGTTAGTTCCTCCAGCGACTGTCTGTGAATCCTGTGAGGTCGTCAATCCGAGCTGTAGAGTATGTGACGGATTCTGGGAGACCCAATTGAGTGACGCGCGAAATCACAAACCAAGAATTACAAAGTCTTGGGATTTATCAACAAAATGCAAAACTATACGTACAAAATGCTTAGATTAAAGGGACCCATACCTCAAATTATAGGGATCTCCGTTTAATTGATGCACGAATTGGTGCAACTCCAAAGAAAACCCGGCAAAAACGGCAACCCGATGTGAATTAACGACAAACGTGCGGGCACAGCACGGGGTAACGCAAACGGTCAAAAAGAGTTCGTCAGAATTCGTTCGATATGTTAAAGGTCAAAAGTTCATGAGGGATCGTGTGTGAATATCGACGCAGGGAAAAGTGGATTCTAGGAAGGGAATAGTTTGACCGGGAGGAAGGAGGTAAAGGAGCCTTTCCCCAAAAAGGGTTTGTGGCACATTTTACGGCCATATCACCTGCATGAACCATTCATAGTTTTATGTTCAGTACAATCTATCAGTGTTCTAACGCCACTACCAACATTTCGAAAGAACGTTTAGCCATCGACAGTAATAGCAGAGCGAGCTCCATGCCCAATATACTGATATTTTTTATAGTCAGAGTAACACCTGAGTTTTCTGTAAATTCAAGTACACAACATCTATCTGACCAAATATGGATTTGGACAATGAATCATTTTTTGATCCATTTGGCTAGTTGGTGGCGCAAGGGCTATTTCCCTTGTCAGCCATCCTTCGGTTGTGAGGGAATTTCCGGTAGCTCGCGTGTTTCGCCCCGTTAGTTCATCATCTAACTAAAGAGAATCTTACTTCATCATCGTCGTTTGCATCTACTTCCATTTGTGGCTTGGTGTGTTAGGGGCAACTGGAATTCGTCAATTCTACGAATGATTCTGAAACATGCGGTATGTGTGAGGCGGTGGGCTCTATTCACTTGGTGGGCGAAGGTTATCGACATGGTAAGGATGTAACGAGGAAGAAGTATAAAGTTCGCCTCAAGAATAACGAAACCGGTCGTGGGCTGCCGCAGAGTTTGCAGCAACCTTGTGAGTAGCTTCCTTTATGAAAGTACAAAGTTCATTTATACATGTCCACGGGTGACGAAACACAGGACTACCGTTCCAGGGTGAAAACTGTGAACAGCACACGATATACGATGGTTGCCAGATCTCTGGAGAATAGCCTTCTCAAGAGGTCCCGTCTGTTCGACCAGTATTTTGCAAGACTGAGGAGGTCATACGGTCACCCGATTGACCAGTTCTCTTTGTGTATTTCAGTCAGCTACTCCATTAAGAAACCAAATCACCCACTGTTGATCGTAGATTCCTACAGAATGATCATTCAGTACCTACGTGGAGTTGTGATGAAGAGCTCCTAGGAAGATATATGAACCAATTCATCACGTGACGTATTCAGTTGTTCGGTGTTGATTGAATGAGTAGTCTGGCGTCAGTAGAGGGCGTTTGCAGAGATGCCAAGCATACCAGTGAAAGGAAAAAGGCCTTTGCTGCGGAGTTATTTATTAGAAAACGCCAAATGAACAGTTATAGACCATTGGATAGGGAAGCAGAACGCTCATATGCATCTTGTTTACCAAAAACTGAATATCCATCTTCTCCTTGAACTTTCCTGGATATTGATTGACTGCTGCTCAAATGCAGCCAAATGTGACTCCACAAATTCCGTAATATATCTCGGTTTTCGAGAGACGCGAAGCGCACATACTAGAAAAGGTACTACTTATGTGCCCCATCAGTAGTGTACACCGTCACACCAGGAACATCAGACGGTGAAATACAATGGTTTTGTCTCAAAACTGCCCTCTTTCCTAACCTATTTTCCAGCGAAGATGATATATATACATAACTTTGACGCAGGTAGTGGGTTAGAATAACTGTGTAAAAATCGAAGCAGGTTGTTCGTGGTCAACCGCCCTCGAACTGTTTACTGTTGTTCTTTATTTTTTGTTCATTTTCCCTCATGTCATCAATTGATTTGACGACCCGAGAAGTATTTGCCATAAGGGAGGCTGTTCCGAAAAGAGCAGCACTGTGATTCAACAAATGGTTTGCAGTCCTCAGATTCCACAAATTCAATTCAAGAGTAAAAGAATCAATGAAAATCAATGTTTTATGAGGAGTGGTCACATTTTATCGATTCAGAAGTTCCCCACGATTAAGCAATGACGCCAGATATATTTCTGTTGAAAAATCATTTGCCAACACCTCTGTGCAGTTGCTCGATTTCACTGAGCACACAAACAAGGCGTTCAAGGGTGGCTCCCAGGAATAGTGTTCAAGACCACCAGGGGAAACAAACGAATAAAGTCCAAGTATGGTGAAGGAGAGAGTAGTAATCAATCGCACTTGTGCCACCAACACTACGCAATATGAGCTCTTTTTTTCATCAAATGAATGTTCACATGAAGATGTTCACGCTTTTATAATCGTATATGTTCCCTTCTTTGGGTTTATTATACCAAGCTGGAATATATTTTTCCCTCTGTAGTGGTAACCCACGAGATCGTGCGTCATAAACACTAAAGCCACGTAGGAATTCCTATCTCACCTACAATTTTTTCTGACAACATGTCCACTATAACTTCCAACACTACGATTTTATAAAGATACATATTCATTTTTTGGGTATATTTTTTATCAAGTTACAGTACATTTTGTTCTCCTTGTGTTCAGCTCTAATCTGTCGCGATCATTTACTTCACCGGCTCCATAGCTCATGTAGACTGGTGCCGAGAATTCGCAAACAGTCAGTTGAAAAGAGTGTGTGGTATGGCAAACAAGGCTTCAATCGAAGAATGTGTCCAGCACCAGAAACTAGCACGTCGAATCATTAGTTGCTGCTTTCCGCACTCGATTCTGATTAGCGGAAACAAAGATCTGGTCAGTAGGGTATGAAAAAGGTTACTAAATGTTTTGGTGGTGGAACTCGCCTTCCAGGATGGGGACCGCATGAACCCCACTGCATCCGATTGAAGACGCTGCAAGATATTACCACCAACTGGTGTGAATGGCGTTTTCGTTATCACTTTATATCCAGATTACATGAATGAGTACTTGAAGGTGTGGAAGGACTGTGGTAGACAAGCATCAAGTCCTCTCTCCATTCACTTTTATTCTTTTCTTCAAAATAAGGTTTTCAAATAAATGAGGTAGTGATGCATTAGTGTCCTACACTGATACGATGCTGTCGACGATGATGATGATGCTGGTAATTCCTTACTGACCGTTTCCACGCGCATGTTTAACATAGAGCGGAACAGACGTGGTTCTCCTTTTCTGCAGAAGAGATAATCCAGCTGGTCACTGGCTTTTTTCTCTATCTTCTGAGGTATATCTGAGTGTAGAAGTGGGTTGCTCAAGAGTCGGGAAGATTTATATCCTACAGTCTGTAGATATTCTTGAGATCATCGAAGCATATTGCGATCCAGAACACGACGAAGCTTAGCTTCTCCAGCGGATCAAGGACAGTTTAGCCTATCAGCCCATTTACTACATCTAGTGGGATTTAACCGCAGATTGTCCTGCATTAGATAACAGGCGCCAGTCTGGACTCGGCCGGGTCGGCTGTACGTGGACCCGACAACATACAGCTGAGGCATGGCTACACACAGAGCACAAAGTCACCACTGCGCCTGCTAATTCAAAGCTTCTGTTTACGACATACTTGGTTTGAAGAGGAGAGTTGATTCAGTCTGCGAAATCGGCCTTGTTTCACACAAAGACCTAAGTTTCCGCTATCTTGGACCCTGTTCTGAGCTCAAATATCTTCGTTAATGGGGTACCTGTGGATAAGCTTTCAGATGGTGACAGACACAGGTTACTGTCGCCAAACTTTCTAAATATGGAGCCGATGAATTCAGACACTTCTGTTTTCCCGTCAACCTTATTTTATATGTGCCCACCAGGCTTTGTGATTATCTGGCTCGCTTGCAGACTAGAGAATGGTAAAAATGTCTTTGCGTTGCTTTTATCGATCCCTGATTTATTGCAGCTGTACTCAAAAGAGCAACGAATGAACGACCAAATTGATAGGGAACGTGAGCTCGTACTGGATAGAACGGAGATAGTGAGCGTGCATGATTAATCCCAGTCGAACTGTCCATATAGCGTGATCAGCATGGTTAGCGGTGGTACTGCGGATTAGATGTGTACTCAACTTCGTCGTCATTTAAGCAGTCCAGGTAAATCTCAGTACGCCAATAAAGCATCTGGACTACCAATCCAGCTTCCAAGGACAGTTTAACAGGTTGATTGATTAAGTCTCTCTACCTGCTGCTGAGACGTAGAAATATATTGCCAAAGATTCTTCGATAAAGTGTGAAAGGACTGTCATTAGTAAGCTATATGTTCCCTTTGCTCTGTTCCTTCTATGCTGTCCGCAATCCATGTGTCCAATGGGAAGCAGCATCGATCGACTATCGATCGACTGCCTGTGTGTGCTGCACTTGAACATCTGACTTATTTTCCCTCTATTTGCTGCAATGTATGGGATCAGATATTCTAAACTCAGACTAATACTTCCTTGTCTATCCCCAACTACCTCTTCAGAATACTTGCGACACATGATATTCCATGTTTTACAAACTATCTTGGATGTGGTTTTGAACACTTTTGTACATTTTATCATCCATAGAGTGGTCTAGGTCTGTGGATTCCAACTTCCTCTGTAGTCCACTACATGTGTGGTGAAATAAATGAGCCGGCAAGATTTACCTGGATATACTTGAAATAAGAGCTGTAACATTACTGAGTAGGAAAAAATCACTTTCGCATAAGCGACAGATTTCAAAAATGTCCCGTCTCAAGCTCTCGATGAAAGTTGCGCTCCGGATTGTGTTGTCATGGGAGGTTAATCCAGGCGATGATCTGGGTTATTCCTTTGAAAGTATCCCGCCTTTGGTAGAGGTGATGCACCCAAGCAGAGAACAGCAGTCTTCAGTCGCAGACGAGCCGTGTGAGAAGCAGCGCAGGCGTGCCAGTAAGCGGGCTGAAGTGAAGTGTCCAATCACAACAAGGTCAGCATACCGTCCAATCACTGCTCTGTGAAGGGAGTATATATATTCGCATGGACTGGTTGATGCGGATAAGCTCTGTGGCTCACCATGGCAAGTCACCCATCGTCTGCTAGCTTAAAACAGTGCTGCTCCATAACGCTCCCACTAAGCTGAGATACCAACCTAGATAGACTTAAATGCAACCAGATACCACAAACTCACTCATCTATCGTGTTGTGAAAATCTCGCGTTTTATTTAGCTACTTCATCTTCTGTTAGGTTGTGATGATTCCTATTTGGTACCCGCATTAACTGTTCATTTCATACGGTTACAGTTTTTCAGAGTCACCTGCCTCATTTTGGCAACGATATTTATCTTGGCCCAACCGGGCATCGGAATGCGGAGGAATATGGTTAATCATGGAGTTGATGACGGCGAATGGTTTGCACTGCCCAATCAGGAAACAGGACACGGATGTGAGTGTCGCGTTTTATGTCGTTTATTCAACAACGGTCAACACATATCGGATTCTCTGTTCTATATGGAGACAGTTTCGAGTTTTGCTTTACATGTACTAGCTACATCCACACCCGGTTGGTGGTGCAGTGTCGGGCAAACCAATCACGTCGCTGAAATTTGAAAAAGTCCGTTAGCGTGCGATGGTGGAGTATTGGTGGCACGTACATCTCGAATATCAGATGTTCGGATTTTGAACACCGGGACGGCCAAGTGTACACACCACTGATGAGTTCCAATAAGAGCGAAATTCGAGTTTAGTGCTTCCTCCCGATGGTTTGCACCCACTAGAATAAGTGTTCCATGACGGAATGAGCACTGTTCACACGAGAGTTGTGCGGACGTGAATTATGGATTCCGGCGAATATAGTCACGATAAAATTTTTGTGGAGAATAGTACATTTTCGGGGTCCTTGATGGGACAGGGCATATAGCTGTATCCCTTCTTGGTACACCGAATTTATCCTCACACATGCCTTAAAGTTCAAGACTGATGCGGTTTAGAGTGACGATTTTTATCAAGACCGACCCCCACTGCGCGGTAGCATCAAGAGTTTCCGCAGACTTTGACGGTTGCAGATCTTACCACTGTCGTTCTTTGTTCGTAATGACACTTCCTGCTGCAATTCAATACTGAACTCAGTACACAGACATTTTAATCACTAAGTGACACAGTCCATTCAACGCAACTGAGTGGACACAAGACAGCATTGTCGCAGGTTCATCTGGATTGGTGATTCTGGAAGACAACCGTGATATAAACCACTCAGATGAACCAATTTTCCAGTAGTTCGGTTCTTCCAACTGAAGAAATTATAGCTCCAATTTAGCTAGATTATACAAAATTCTACTGAATTAGCACCGATGACAGACCAGTCGACCTACCAATTGCTCTGCTACTTTGTGGGTTCCAGAGTTATCTCGCTGGTTGTACATTCCTGCCAGGTCTCCTCCACTAATTCAATAATACAGAACCAACGAAATCCACGGAGCTTGAACGCCGAGCTATTGTGTTCGGAGATATTGTGCCCTCAGGCTATCTTTTACGCGCATTTGTTCACCAAAACCTCGGTAGCCATTACGAGCGACCATTGCACTCAGACTTCGTCTGCTTGCTTCATGAGCAGTCGCAATTTGATTCATACTTATTCGGTTTGGTATCCAGTCACGATCAGACCTTAACTGCTAACGGTCCAGTTAGGTAGCACAGCTTCAGAGAATACGATAATCTGCGAAAGACGCTCTTTTGCATACCGGACGTGGGCTGTCTGAGAGTTTTCAGTAACCTTGTGAGTAGTGTATTACGTCGACACAGCAATCTATTTTGGAACCAACAGCTGAAACAAATGATGAGAATGCGTACTTCGAAGACCATGATTACAGGTGCAGGTATTCTGGTCGAGCAATGTTACAATAAGATGTCAAGTAACGAGATTCATTCTGCTCCTTCTATTCCATATTAGGGCCCCCTCATCAGGGGGGTGGGTTAATTTTCTCGGACTTTTTCATTGACGGCTTATGATGAACATCTCGAGATACAAATCACCTAAAGACCTCAAATGCTGTTCGGTGAGTACGACAATTTCAGCGTCTCTCAGAGAAAAAAAGTGCAGAACTTCACCATTAGTTTAGGGACATAGATACACAGGCCCCGAACAAAGCTTTCGTAAGTGAGCCCATTTGTGTTAGTGCCGGCCGTCAGTGGATCAGCTACTTTGCCCCACAATAGAAGCGTTCTCTTAACCCAGCAAATGCATCGTCTCTCAGAGTTTGTTGCGCTGCCCAGTGTTGTTCCTGTCATCGAGCTGGAATTTTATTGACATTGTTATCTCTTCTCTATACTGTTTTAGTAACTCAGGTGAATCCATCGCGTGTACCATGGTCAAAAACGTGAAACTGTCCTGGACTGTAGTGGTCAAAAGCAATCCAGGCTGAATTAACGTGTTCTAGCGCGTCAATTGCCAGATCCATCAAGAGAGCTGATAACTAATCAGACGAGACTTTTCGACTACTTACCAGTAGTCAGGTGGTTGTCCGAATTGGTCTATGGTTTCCATGACCAAAATATCTTGGATTTGTTTGATTGTTACGAAGCGCGTCTGGATTCGTTCGGACTTGGTATTGTGATCTGCATCAGTCTTGATCTGCATCAGTGCCCAGTTTTGATCACTAGAAAAGGCCAAAGCGTTTTTAAGGCTCAGAAAATCCATGCGGATATCTACTACTATGCGTTCGGTTCGTTACGCATATTTGTGTTAGTCTCAACCATTTTTGTCTTTCGTTTTACAGTATCACAAGAAGAGGCTTACAACGACGACGGATGGGGCTGGATAGATGTGTGATCAATGGTTATCTTCAAGACGAAATACAATTGGATGGAAAACCGTTTTGCTTTTTTCTTCTGCGCTTTATTATATTTCACTTGTCGGTAGTCTGGATGGGAAAAATGCCCTAAAGACAAAGCGTTTTGTCAATTTCTTTGTTTTCAAACTTGGAAAGGGCGAAATTTCAAAACATAAAACATTCAATACGAATCACTGTTGATCTCTGAAGTAGAGCCCAAAGGGTAACTAATGAGACGGGTTTGAAAATTCTATTGCCGACCTAGCTTTAGTATCCCCAAGCTTAGTCACTTTTTGTAGCAGATCAGTGAGCAATCGTTGCTGAATCGATCGATGAAGTCGGTAAGTGATGCAATCAGCTGACCGCTCGATTTGTCCATTTGAATGGAGATCAGGTGACAGAGGCCTTTAACTCTTAATCAATAAATACTGGTCCCCTGGACGTCCTAAGACTGCTGAAAGTGAAAAAGAACTGCGTCAAGTGACAGTATGAAGACCACCAAAGCCAGTCGTCCAGACATACCGGTGGTTCACTGTAGAACATCATTTGGGGGAACGGTCAATCCATCAAAGGAAGAGGTTGACGTGTTAATTAGGACATAGGTTCAAGATCAGCCAAGAGGGGCTGACGTATTATATAATTAAGCCTGAATCCAGCAGTACGCTTGGCTAAGTTTGTAGTCCGAACTCACCTTGAGGCCAAGTGTGAGAAGCTGTATCGAAAGCAACAAAAAATGAAGTGCCCATGGTTATTAAAATTATTCAGAACCACTTCGGTTAATCCACGTATACCGTTGCACCAGCGTGAATTAACCAGAGGTTTCACAATTGCGGTAGACAAGGTCAACAATCACTAAGTTAGATCCATCGATCCATCAAAATTCTTCTCTTAGGTCACCATTACGCAACACATCCAGGACGAGTAATGCAGGATGTTCGCCCCTGCTCTTATAAGGTTCTCGTCTGACGCGATATATCAACCTGGTGTCACAAATTGGGAATGACCACCAAACCTCAGCCATTAAATCGACGTCAAGTTCAACAATCATACAACCAAACAAGACTTGTTCCTCAGAGTGCGACCATTTAAACAATTTTGTACCATTTATTGTACGAGCTATTTCTAATCCAATACAACCCGACATCCCTCTCTCCCTGCGATTCCGAAACACTCGTCACAATCAGGCACCGTTTCCTTAGGGGTCACTAGTGGAAACGAAATTTCGTTGTCCATATTTTGTTTTCTTTGGTCGGCACACCTTCGACGAATTGGTCACACAGCAACTGCTGGCGTCCAATTACGTCCAGACACGATCCAACCACTGATTCAAACTGATGAAGAACATGGTCGGTCGCATTCCCAGCACATCCTGGTCGCCTCGAACCGCTCAAAGCCCAACTGCGTTCGGCCTCCAGTTCTTCTGCCGTCTACAGTACAGCATAGTTCAGTGTAGTATAGTGTAGTGTGGTATAGTATGCCGTATAGTACAGTATAGTATATAGTATAGTATAGTATAGTATAATATAGCATAGTATAGTACAGCACATTATAACACCATATAGTATAGTACAGTATATACTATAGTATGGTATAGTATAGTATAGTGTGGTCTAGTATATTGTAGTATGGTATAGTATGGTATAGTGTGGTATAGTATAGTATAGTATAGCATAGTATAATGTAGTATATTATAACACCATATAGTATAGTACAGTATACATGTCTCCCGGGTGTAGACAACTACAAACAGACTTGGCGGTCTTTACCCAAGGTTGCTCCGCTGTTTGCTTATATTATGATCTGAGCACTCGTAGTATAGTATAGTATACTATAGTATAGTATAGTATAGTATACTATAACACAGCATAGTGTAGTTTAGTATGGTACAGTGTATTCAGTGTAGTCTAGTGTAGTGTAGTGTAGTGTAGTGTAGTACAGTGCTGATTTCTATTGTCGGATTTTGTTGCACTGTAATGCAGTGCAAAGTTTCCTACTCTATTGTATCTTTATGCATGATATCTGTGTTTTATTTACGGAAATGTGAATGATCTGCTTAACCCTGTGGATATTCCAGAGTTCGTCAAGGAACACATAAACAACCTCGGGAGGTTACAGTGCGGGAAGTTGAAATCCGATCAGCGCTCTGACTCGGGATCCGGGAACCCACTCAAGAGACTAGGAGGTCTCAAGTG